GCAGATAATTTGACGTAATACGGTTTATAGTTACGCCTAATTCGTTACTTTCAATCCCTTGGTTGTTTGAGGCCATCTGTGTACAAGCGCTTTCACTGCGCCCGCGGCGTCGGTCGGGACGGGATGGGTTTCATCCAGCTGATCTAACCTATCGATAGCTTGCTTTCATCTCCGTCGACGCACAAATCGGTCCACCGACATAGAACTAATAAATCCCGCACATTTTATCCCTCAGTTCGGTCAGTAAGGTTCGCGAATTAGCTCAATGCTGCATATCAGCACATATTATTCAGTTTTTCTTTGATCAACTTGACCCAAAAAAACACATTAAACAAACAGCTGCTTAATTGGCATTATCAAAAATCATTTACCTCTCAATGTTCGGCTCAGAGGTTTTGCTTTCGGTCGTGCATGCAAACCGCTGTCATATTCTACAAGTTTCGGCAAATAAGAAGATTTCTTATACGTGCCATGGTTACAATTCAAGGAGTACATTTCTGTGATGTTTTATGCGAAGATGTTCTATGCACGGGGGTACCGTGCGTTATCGAAATTCGAACTGGAGCCAACACTGCACCTCTCTGATGTGAGCCCACAGGGCTCGATTGAACACTGACAACCATCTGCATAATCCTCGCTAAAGACAGCTCCTGCGTCCACCGATGTAAATGCTTGATTGGGCTATAATTAGGGTTAATACAGTTTTTAGTCAGTTACCGTCTGCTGTTCTTTTCATTGTCGGCTCCATCCCACCAAACTTCACTGGTCTACGCGCACAGGTTTCCCACAAACGCCGGCCGCATGGTCGGCAGCCTTAGTAATATCCCCTAAAAAGTGAAAAGTTACCAAACTGTTGTACCGTTCTGACTTCTTCCTGTGCCTTGTCTTAGACCACTAGGCAGTCAACCCACCAAAGCTGGCTATCTTCCAGTATGCCGTTCAACTTCCAAAGGTTCAGCCAACTAGACCGCTCGTTACACTTAAGCAGCTCATAACTTACAAGATACCCTTCTGCGATGTGCTGTGTGAAAATATTCCATCGATCATCGAACCAGAACCGATATTAGACCTCTTCGATGTGAGTCCACAAGGTTCGGCCAGACACCGGTCCAAATCGACGCAGCCCTATTTCAGTCGGCTCCAGTATGCCTCGATGGCATATGCGCGACTCCCAGTGGTAGAATAGAAAAAAAGATTTGGAGTGGTTTTCCGTCTTATCTTCGTAGCCCAGCGAGTGAAGGCTATTGTAGGCCGTCCATGCCTCTATTAAAATGATGCTGCCGAGGACTACACACCTTTTGATCACTTTTCCTAGGCATAACTACCTGCAATTTTCTAACTGTTCGCATACGGCCTTCCTTCCCGCCATATCGTACCTGCATATTACCTGTTACTGATGGCGGTGTTGGCCGCGATTGCACCTGGGCCGGGAAATAAACGCTTTGTCCGCCTTCACTTCGAAACCCCGCCCCCCCCCAACGGTTTAGGATTCCTTCTGAAAGGCTTGCAAGCATGCATTGTGACAGATGGCATACAAAGATATAGGCGCCCGCTTTCCTTAGTTGCGTAAAGACGCGCAGTCCATTACGGACTTTACCGCTATGAAGGTGAAACACACATTAGCCAGTTTCGCCAAGCTTAGTTAGTTGTTGTACAAGGTGTAATTCGTCCGTCTGGACTTCCTGCTTTTACATATCTACAACGGAATATCGACTTCTGGGTGCATTTATTCTAGGTTGATGAAGTGAGTCTGGACCCGCTGAAAGAGGGTTCGCACACAGCTCCTTTTATGAGCCATTGAATAGGGGCACCTTGAGAAGCTCATCAGTTCTGCGTGCATATGCGTGACGTGCATAAACCAGGAGTCGGTCCTCAGTGATTGTAATTAATGCTTAGGCTCAACAAACATATATTACGAATTTCAGCGCCTCCCGTGATTATTAACTTATAAGATCCGACGCGTTTGCGCTTTGGGATCGCGGCAGAAACGCAGGGGGTTTAATTCACTGAAGGCGTTCAATGAGCAACATGGTTAGCAGTGTCCAGAAATGGCGGCTGATTAAAACTGCAAATTTATCTAACTTCCATGCCCAAAGTCAAACTTGGGGAACGCTTTATAACTCAGTATGACAAAGGAAGTTCGTTTAATAACTACGAAGGCGGTACTGGGCGAAGTTTTCAGAACATCGCCAAATACAAACTTGATGATTGTGTGGTTTATTTGAAGCATGCAACCGCTGTTCCATAGCTCTGGTAACCAGACCTAAGTCAAATTCGACCAGCGGAATGACCTCACCTTTCATTTATCAAGAAGTGAACTTACTTTGAAGTTGCTGTTCAAGTCTGTTGATCGATCTATATAAAAAGTCAAACAAATATTCGATAGGATGTGATCCTTCGCGGCCATCACGGTTTGCACGACAAACTCAAATGAAACAATACCAAGATATTCAATCTAACGGTTTGAATTTAAGGGAGCGTAACTTTTTACATACTAATCCTTGAAGAACATCGCGCCGGACCAAGAAAATGGGTGGCACTATGTCCCGAACATGTGATCAGGAGAAACTGGTGACCCGACAACTCATGAAGAAAGTGAAACATTTTGTTTAAACCCAGAAAGTCACCTCTGGCGTCTTCATCATTAGTCGACTTCTACCCAATATTTTTTTGTCATAGCAAGGGAGGTTAAGATATAATATCTTCCCTTACCAACAATATGTTCGCATGATTTTGAAAATTTATGCTGTTTAGTGAAAGAACAGACTTATTCCAGAGGAATTTCTGCAGAATTTGGGAGAACGTATGAGTACGACTTATTTCACAGCGGTCCGCATAAAATCTTCTGGGATTTTGCACGAAAGAGTGAAGAGAGCTTGTTCACAATACATGGAGGTGCTAATGGTCCACGGCTGAACCATGACTAAAGTAGTTATCGGCTCACATGAATTTCGGGAATTTCGGTCTCGTAAAATTTGAATGTGTGGCCGGGTCTCGTCGAAT